CCCCCCCCCCCCAAAAGAATCCCCATATCTATAGGCAGTCAGTCCCTGTATTCGTTTCCTATCGTTGCTGTAACTAATTGCCTCAAACTTAGCGGCCTAAAATGACACCCATTTATTATCTTACCGTGCCGCAGCTCAGAAGTCCGAAATGGGTCTCACTGGGCTAGAATCGCGGTCAGCAGGCTGCGTTCCTCTCTGGAGGCTCTGGGGAGAGTCTGTTTTCCTACCTTTTCCAGCTTCTGGAGGCTGTGCATTCCTTGGCTCGGGGTCCCCGTCATGTTCAGAGCCAGCAATGGCTGGTTGAGCCCTTCTCACAACAGACCTCCCTCACTCTGACTCTGTTGCTCTGTCCCCTGTGTAAGGACCCTCGTGATTCCATTGCACTCACCTGGGTAATCCAAGATAAGTTCGCTATTTAGGTCAGCTGATTAGCAACCTTAATTCTCCGTCGCCATGTAACACGACCTCTTCGCGGGTTTCACAGATTAGGAACATGGACGTCTTGGGGTTGGCATTCTTCTGCCTCCCACACTCCCCACGTCCCCACACCTCAGCCCTCGGCCACCACTAAACTACTCTGTGTCTCTATATATCTACCCACCTTTTTTCTTGTCTCATGTTTACCCTTTGCTCCGTCGCCTTTCTCTGATTAGTCTCTTTGTGGCTGCCAATTTTCTCTCATTTCTCAGGAGCTGATGGGCCGCTGGAGGCAGAAAATAGGGAGGACTCGGGGAGCGGGGGGAGAGGGCTAAAGTTTACAGGACCAAATGCTGGGACAGGAAAGAGGCACACAGGTGTCATCGAACAATATAAGCAAGTGATTACCTGCAAGTTACGGAGAAACCAAATCAGCTGGATAGTGTAGTAAAAACAGTCCTTTCTGTAAGTTAGATCATTTGGTTTTGGGACAACCTACTTTGTCTGTGAGGGTCTCAGTTACCTCAAACTGTAAAACTAAAGTGGTTCTCAAAGTATGGTTCCTGGGAGCCTATTAGAAATGCAAATCACTTACACACACACAGACACACACAGACCTGCTACTTCAGAGACTCTGGGTGTGACCCTCCCCCCAGTCTGTGTTTTAACAAGCCCTTCTGGTTATTCTGATGTATGCTGAAGTTTGAGAACCACTGACCTAGATTATGTCTGAATTCCATAGTCTATGAGTAAATTTCTAGGGATATAAAAAGAAATAATTTTTTTAGCAGGAAGAAGACAAGAACATTGAAATCTCCCATCATTTGATATTTCACTTCAAGTCATGACCTTCTAGGTCCCAAACCCGAGAGTCTCTGTGTATCACTTCAAAGAATTTTAGGGTATATATTGCATGACATGAAGACCTGCGCTTCTACTAAAACTTGCTGTGTGTGTCTCACACCCACAGGTCTACAACACTGGGCCAAGCACCCTTCCTGGGTCATCTGTCAGCATCTCCTTCCCCAATCGACTGTCACCTGGCGGTGCAGAGATGTTTCACATACAGGAGATGGTGGTGAGTTCTTGTTTCATTGTTGCTTTCAGACTTGAGCCAGCTCATTTCCATTTTGTATTCCACCCGGGGGCCCAGAAGCTTAACTCATTCTAAACTTTGGAAACATCCAGAGACGCCGGAAGACCACAACACTTGAATTTCTACATTGAGACAGTTTGGTTAACACCATGAGAAGGCCTCTTTGGGGTGAGGTGAGGGTTGGTTATGAACTGACCTCTGGAATAGACTTCACCGTCTCTGGAAACGCCCAGCAACCGTCTGCAGTCTTGTGTGTGTCTGAACGCATTTTTCTGAAGGAAAGATCCACAGCATTCATAAAGCGTCTCAAATGGCCACTGATGCCCAGAGGGTGAAGCATTGGTTCAGAAAACATAAGTGCAGGTTGAAACTCAAGTTTATGCAGAATATGCAATTCTACCTGATCCCAAGTCAACTGTAGATGGTTTTGTCTCAAGAAAGGCTTGGTAACTAGCATATGGTCATTCCCACTGGCCTCCTTGACTTCCTTGGTTTCCAAGACACCACATTCCCTTGGTTTCTCCTTTCTCACTGGCTTTTCTCCTCTCACCTACTTCTGTGGGGCCCAGCGTCTCCTCTTTCCTACACTCAGTCTCAGATATCTCACCCAGACTCGTGGCTTTATATCCAGTCTGTGCCGAATTCAAGAAATACTTTGCATTCACCCTGTGCCAAGCGCTGGCTTACATTGGGGAACAAAACAGACAAAAACATCATATTTTCCAGGCCTTGTGTATTTTCGGCTGGAGAGAGACAAATAATAAATAAATAAGACATATAGTTCATGGTGGTAAATGCTATGGAGAAAAGTAAAGGAGGTAGGAGACAAGGGCTCATCAAGCAGGTCTCACTGAGACCGTCATTGGGAAGGGGGTGGAACCAGAGCTGGCTCTGGAGTTTGTAATGTGATCTTTGCATACGAAGGCCTTGCCAACTCATTGTTTCCCTAGAGTTCTCTCTCCTTGATTTTAGCCCTACTTGGTTTCTCTCCTTGGAAATGTCGGCCCCATGCTTTCCCGTGCGTTGTGTCCACATTGGGCATCCAGGGGTGTGTGTGTGTGGGGGGGTGCTCATCGGCGCTCGTGCTGGGGGAGCTTTCTGTCTCACAGTGAATCACGTCGCTGGCAACAGCAGTTGACAGTAACACCGATTTTTAAAGCTGGTTGGTTGGGAGGGCACGTTGTGCATGAGAAACATCCTGGGTTTTATGACTTAGTTGTACACAGAGGGTAATTGCAACAAGAAGTCTCCCCTGCAGCAGGCTTGCTGGAGGCCGAGATGTAACTTGTACGTAAGCCAGGCCTGGCACTTTAAAGCAGCCCCGCAAATAACCCAAAGCAGAATCGAACAACTCACTTTTTTTCCCCAACGTCTACTACTCTCCCAACGGTGAACACATGTTCTTTTTTTCTCCCCTTTTACCCTCAGTTTTTCCTCTAGAAATTCAAGGACTTGCCCTATACCAAGTCATCCCTCATTCTGGGTAGGAGGTCCCTGTTAAGAAGTCAAGGCTTGCCCCAGCCGGTGTGGCTCAGTGGTTGAGCCCCAACCCAGGAATCAGGAGGTCACAGTTCGATTCCTGGTCAGAGCACATGCCCGGGTAGGGGGCTCCATCCCCGGCAGGGAGTCTGTAAGAGGCAGCCGATCAGTGACTTTCATCATGGATGTTTCTATCTCCCTCTCCCTCCCTCTCTCTGAAATCCATAAAAATGTATTTTTAAAAAAGAAGTCCAGGCTTAGGAACCCTCCCCAGGACACTAGGTCCTTGGGTAATGTGCATTCTTTTCCGTGATATCCTGTCACTGGAATGATGTCATACAAAGTGAACTGTTAATAATACAGCTTATGTTATAAGATAAGGGGATAAGAGAGGGAAGGGGAAAAGGAAGCCCCTCCCTAGCAGGAGATAGATTTCCAGCCCTGGGTGGATTTGGGGATTATATGATCTCACCCTCTGCCTTTGAACAGAATACAATCAAGACATCTCCGCAGTACAATGGAACCATGTTTCCTCTAAGTCCATTTTTTATGACCATCCTTAATTCCTTATGCTCTCATTTCCCTGACCTTTTCTGAGCTAAAATGGAAAACAGTTGCCTAGCTCCCTCTGTGGAGAAGTTGAGCTGTTTTTTAGTCATTTTCCCCCACTGTTCATCTTCAAAAGATCCCAAGAGAGAGAGAGACAGACAGACAGACGTCGATCTGTTGTTCCACTGATTAATGCATTCATTAGTTTATTTTTTATGCGCCTTGACCGGAGATCGAACCTGCAACCTTGGTATATCGGGACGATGCTCTAACCAACTGAGCTAATCACAATTCCTTAAATTCACATTTTCCCATCCTTGGCCATTCTCTTTGCTCTCTCCATATTGTCCAAACAAATAAAAATTCAGAACGGAGCATCAGATATATACGCCCCTTGATCCAACCTCTCCTGCTCGCAGACTATTACCCTCAGGCAGGTAGGACCCTGGCCCCGTTTCCCATTTGAGAACTTGCTGACTTCCCCTCCTAATTACTTGTGTAACTCAGAGACATCCTGCGCTTGGGAGGCCTGACCACATTAGCTAGTTGCAAACCTGCATTGACTCTTTGTCCCGTTTCCATGTGTTATTTTCTTCATCTGACATTACTGTGTTTCATCGTCTCTTGTCTTCCACAAGATTAAAAACACTGTGACCATAAAGGTCATGGCTGCCTTGCTTCCTCTGTATCCCCCGCGTTTGGTGCCTGGACCACAGTGTGTGCTCAGTTTAATGAAAGAGTCGGCTGCTCCCACTCTGGTAGCATCACCATCACAAGTATTTCTTTCTGCCTTGGATAGGCATGTGTCCTTACACATCTGTACACCCTGCAACACATCCACTGGGCTCCCCAGACGTTCTAGGAACTCGGGAAATTTGCATTGAACTGAAATCCCCAAGTAGGGATGTTTTGACAACTTCCTTTAACCCACAGCAGAGGTTGCCTTAATTTCAATGTGGGGATAAATGAAAAGGTAAAGCTGAAATAAGGGGTTGCGTCACCTCTCAGAAATAGAGGCTTCCAGGAGCAGATTGAAACTCGAAAAACTTTGATCAGAGATAATCATGAAAACACCTCTCCCTGTCTCTCACTCCCCTCCCCTTCCCCCTCCCCTCTTTCTCTTTTCCCTTCCTCCCTCCCACTTCTTCCCTCCCTCCCTGCACACACACACACACACACACACACACACACAACACACAGGCACGCACACAGGCACACACATATCAAGTCTGCTGATCTCAGCAATAGGCTCAAATCATTTTTTTTTCTTTGTCTTCTTTCTGCACATGTTTGAGTGTGAGCTGAATAGTCAAGTTCTTGAAATGGGTCAGGATTAGCTTGGCTTCGATTTTTTTTTCCTCAACAAAAGCCAAACACTTACAAAAGAGGGGAGATGGCTGACGGAATTCTGGAGGGAGAGCTACGTTCCTGGGCTCTGGGGTCGATTTTGGTTTCGGTGAGGGGACTGTGTGTCCGGGAAGGTGGGGCTAGGCCTCAGCCTGGGCTGCGCCTGCACCGTGCAGTCCAGAGGGTGCCCTTTAACCCCGGGCAGAGCCAATGAATCAAGCCTCCGGTGCCATCCCCCTGCTGGCTGGGCGCCGGCCTTATCAAGGAGCCCAGGGCCTGTGCTCAGGCTGCTGGGGCATCTGGAAGCATTCATGGGTCCTTGCGGGGTGTGGCCCCGCCGCAATGCTGGTGCTTAGGTGCCTGGCGTTTCCTGGCCCTAAAAGTGGGCGGTTACGCAGTTTACTTTCCTTCAGTCCTTTTTTTGCTCCTTATGAGCAACATGACACACAGCCCTGTTCTTGCAGGGGTGCCGGGTTGTTACCAAAGTCGATAACAGGAAACCTCGCTGAGGAGAAGCAGAGCTCATCGGTCACTGCCCAGAAACACATGGTTCTCATTAAACCTGCGAGGACTAATTGTGGATACTTCAGAAGCACAAAAACAGGAAAACTCCTTTCTGACAGACATACCAAGCCTCTTCCAAAAGGAACTTTTGCAACATCGCGAGACACTGGGAAGCAATTAACTCCCAGCTCTCCGAGCCAGCGTCACTCCTTCAGAATCGAAACTCAGGACCCTAAGACGCTTCAGGCCTCCCGTGAAGCCTTAAGACTTTAGACCTAATGAGTGACATCTTGGTTTCTCCTTTCACTGCTCTGATGGATATAGTCTCAGAAAGCAATCGAAGAGGTTAGACAGATGGTTACATATCCAGAAAAATGATTATTTACCTTTTGATAAAGGGGTAATAATGAAGTGTCACATCTAGTAAATGCAGAGGTAACTCAGTGGGTCAGTGGGTGTGCTGCTGTATCTGTTATGGGAAGATGGGGGGGCAGTGCCAAGAACTAGAACCAGAATTTCAAGAAACCGGTACAATTACGAGGACTGTGTCGGGTCCCACAGCAGGGGCTACTGACTCATTTATTATCCAAATCCGCAGACCTTTCTGCTTCCAAATATTTCATTATCTGTGGAAGGGAAACATTTTTGGCATGCATGTCAAGTGCTCAGATAACGTATTTATGTCTCACTTTTTCCCTAAAGAGAAACTGACCGCATCTGGAAATTCTTCTGTGTCACTGCTTCTCTGAAAGTACATCCCATCTGTATCGCTTTAACTCCAGTAAAGGCCATCCCTGTGCTCGTGAAGTGGGCCCCATCTGGGAGACTGGTCTTTCCCGGAGTAAATGTGAATGAATTCTGTTCTACCGGGCAGCCCGGTGGTGACCTGCACTCTTGACTGGGAAGGGTGTTGGCCTACCACACCCAAAGGAAAGTGTGTGAGGGCCTGGGGAGGGAACCACGTTGTTTTAGCCAAACCTTAGAGCTGGTGGAGGGGAAAAAAGTCATTAGCTTTTATCATAAGAAGTGAGATTTTTTATGAAATAATGACAGACTTATACAGTGGTCAGAATCGTATAGCACACTGTGCTCTCCCTCTCCTC